TGCCGCTGCTGCCGGAGAGATGGTGCAGGCCTGGGTTGCAAAGATGGTGTCGTTTGGGGCAAGACAATGTCATTGAGTTGCAAGTGAGTGGAACAGAATGGGTTCGTCGAAAACTTGCAGCACAAGGTTTGATTCCATGCAAACAACATGAACATTTGGTGACTGAATGGAGTGAGAAAGCGGCTGATGTGAAGTTTTCGGGTTTGCAACCTTTGTCACATGTTTTTCAACCTGCCCCTGCGGTTCAAGTCAGTATGAAGCAGGGCAAACAGCCTGGTTCTCTCACGTCTCCATCCTCTCCTACCAGTTGTGTTCGTGATGCAAAGACCTCCTTTGGACGGAGGCAAAGCGTTGACAGCCGCTCGTGCGCTGACCAGATGGCGCAGAATGGTGGCACGAAAGTTCGAAAGGGCCGTTTGGCATGCTTTTGGACAGCTCTTGTGGCTTGTGCAGCGGCCTTACCTGAGGTTCCTGCCGTATCCGTACCAATCAACAAGCTCTCCAATTGTTTGGGCGGAACAAGCGGACTCAATGGTGAAGTCAGGAGCTTATGCAAGAAGGCACTTCCGCAGAGCCAAGATCAACAAAGCCTTCACTCAGGTGAATATGCACGAGTGCATGCAGCTGCGCAACCGCATGGGCATAGAGCATTGCTTTGTGGAAGACCCCATGCTGACTGGAATGATGGCAGCCCGATCCAACAGGGGCCTCAACCTGAGACTTCGAGCTGGAGTGATTGCAGAAGCCAAAGCCGAAGCCAAACACCTCAAAGACGAGAAGGCCAAGGTGGAAGCAGTCAGGTCGTTGATTGGACCGAGAGGTGGATTGCCAACTCTTCGCGACGATTTGTTGCGCCTTGCAACTCTGCTGCATGTGGAGATCGCAGATCGCGACACGACCGAGGTGCTCAAGACCAAGATTCGTCCAGTGGTGGAAAGTTTGAAGGGTCCTCTGGCCGAAGTGAAGTCAAGCGGATCTTCAACCGAGCACTTCGAGGTTGGCACTCCCACTGCGGCCGCAAAGGCCAAATCAGCTCCGAAGCCTCAGCCAATGGAATTGCCAAGTCCAGTGCAGCCAGAAGCTAAAATGTCGAACGAAGAGCTTCGAGCACTTTTGAAAGAGCAAGAGACCAAGTACACCACCATGATCAACCAGATGTACCAGCACATCATGATGGTGCAAAGCAATGCTGCTTCAATGATGCCTCCCCTGACTATGGGAGATCTTCCGGATGCACAGATGGCTCCTCAAGGTTGGACAGACGAAGAGATCCAACAGATGAATGCCGAATGTCAGCTGGAGATGGATCGCCAAAGATTCGAAGCTCAACACGGAGAATTTTCCTCAATGAGCGATGCCCTCAGTCTGATATCTCTAGCGGAAGGCTGGGACCTGACGCAGGAGACGGCACCTTGAGCCTCTCCGAAGTGAGTTCCTCTATGACAGGTGTCAAGCCTGGCCAACGGCAGCTGATCTCTCAAGCTTGGGAGAAGCATGTGGCAGACCGGAAGAAAACTTCAGTGACCAAAGCTCAGATCAATGATGCCTTTGAAACTATGTGGACGGCAGAAATGGAATCCTTCATGAATGAGACCTTCCTGGCCAACATTCATTTGCCCTCCACGACTCCTGCAGTTGCTGAAGTTTATACAACGAATCCTGAAGGAAGCACAGAAGCGTGGACATTGCACTGGTCCACCCATGTCTTTGGAGACAGGCTGGGATTTTCTGAATCCAATGCACCGACGGCAAGCCTTTAGATGGGTGCGAGAGAACAAGCCTTTTTTTTTGGTTTTGGCATTTCCTTTCAACTTTTGGACTTTGTTGCTGGGATTGAATCCTCCAAAAGATCCTGAAGCTCACTATGAGAAAGGCATTACTCTCCTCCGTTTTGCATTGCTGCTTGCTCAAGAGCAAATCAGGCATGGCCGTCACTACATTTTGGGGAACCCTGCTGGCTCTAAGGCATGGAAACTTCAGGAAATGTTGGAATGGTTGGAAAAGTTTAAAGCCTTGATGGTGAAGTTCGATCAATGCAGATTTGGGCTTCGTTGCGGTGCGACTGGACTTTTGCACCAGAAGCCGACATGTTTGGCCACTTCTTCTCAGGCCGTGATTTCAAAGTTTGTGAACAAGCGTTGCATGCGCAACCACTTGCATGCGCAGGTGATTGGAGGTAGCAAAGTTACAGCTCCTGCGGGGCGGTACCCTCCTTTGATGGCACGCGCCATCGTTCAAGCTTTGGAGGAACAGTTTGAGTTTGATTTTGGTCGGCAGTTGGCTGACAGTGTGAATTTTCCAAGCCATGGAGTTCAAGCTCTGGAAGATGAACTCGATGCTGAAGTGGAAGCTGCTGGCGGCAATGTGCCGCATCCTCCAGATGAAGGTGAAGCCGTTAGATTCTTGGATGATGACAGTGGCTCAGATGTTGCAGTTCCAGAGCATCCCAAAGCAAGCCTCGCTGTCATGCAAGCTGTCAAAAGATTGCATGAATCAACCGGACACAGAAGTCCGAAGCGTCTTGCAAGAGCTTTAGCCATCAGTGGCGCTCCTGTGGAAACAGTAGTTGCAGCAAAAGCCTTGAAATGTGATGTTTGTGCTGAACGCCGCAAGGCAAAACCTCCAAAGCCGGCATCATTGCCGACACCCAAAGACACCAGTGACCAGGTCTTCATCGACCTCTTTCATGTGTATGATGCCGCAGACACCAAGTATGTCATTGTGCACATGACTGACTATACATCCAGATATCAAATGGCAGGTGTTTTGGATGGAAAGTCTTCAGCCGAGGTGACGTCTTTCATCAAGCAGAACTGGCTTCCATTGATGGGTCCACCACGTGTTTTGGTTGCTGACCATGGGTGCGAATTTGTCTCCCATGAGTTTGAGACCTTTTGCGCTGGCCTTGGGATCTATGTCTATTTTACTGGCATTGGTTCTCCAAGAATGGTGTTGCTGAGCGATCTGGTGGCGTGCTGAAAGCCATCTTGGGCTCCATCGTAGCTGGTCATACTGTGATTGGAAGTTCACAGATGAAAGATGCCTTGGGCGAAGCTGTGATGGCTTACAATTGCGACATTTGAGATTCAGGTTTCTCTCCAGTGCAAGTTGTGACTGGCAGGCAGCCTCGTATGCAGGGTGATGTTCGTGGTGGAATCCAACAACGACTTGCTGAGCACTCCCTGGTTTCCTCTCATGCCAGCATGGCTCGTTCCATTGCCATGCGTGAGACAGCCAAACTTGCAATGACCCGGCTCCATTTTAGCCGTGGACTGAGACGCGCCGAGCTTTCCAGATCAAGGACAACAACTTTGACTCAACAACCAAAGCCTGGCGACATTGTTTACTTCTACCGTGATCAGAAGTATAAAGGTCGACAAGGCAAGCGAATCCTTGCTCTACGACGTTGGCACGGTCCTTCATTGCTTGTAGCATGGGAGAGGTGACAAGTATGTTGAAGGGCTGCGAGAGATTTACCTGGAGAATGTGGCCGGTGCCTCTGATTCACCCAAGCTGCCATTGCCTGATGGTTGCATTGCACGAATCTTGAAGGGAGTTTTTCGACTTTCTGATGCTCCTAGGCAGTGGTATCTACGTCTCAATAGAGCCTTGCTTCAACGTGGATGGCAGCGCAACCTGGTCAGCGCCATGTTGATGATTTGTTGTTTGGTGGAGACGCAGTGGCAAAACAGAGTTTGCTTGACCTTGGAAAAGAACTTGGTTTTGGTAGTCTTGAAGAAGGTGAATTTCAATACTGCGGAAAGAGAATCAAGCAAGATGTGCAAACAGGCACCATCACTGTTTCGATGGAAGAGTACCACTCCAATCTACATCCCATCAAAGTCCTCACCGAGCGCAAGAAGGATGTGCACAGTTCTTTGAATGCTGGCGAGTTGAAGCAGTTGCGAGCTCTTTTGGGTTCCTTGCAATGGTTGGTAGCACAAGTGCGTCTGGATATGGGCTATCACCTCAGTGTGCTCCAAGGTGAGAAGCCGTGCGTTGGCACTATGCTGCGTGCAAACGCCTTGCTCAAGCGCTTCAAGGACAATCCAGGGTTCAGTCTAAAGTTTAAACCCTTGAACTTAGCTGATGTTGGAGTTATGGTTTTAACAGATTCCTCCCTGGGAAATGTTCGAGCGAATAATGGATCGCCTGGTGAAGAGCCTCTGGAAAGACTGTACTCACAGTCATGCTACTTTGTGCTGCTGGCTGAGAAATCCTTGATGGAGGGCAAGCGTGGTGGCTTTGCTGTGCTAGATGCGCGTTCGCATCGCCTACCGAGAGTATGTCGATCGACATACGCAGCCGAGCTCCTGGGGACCAAAGAAGGTTTTGACGTTGGACAATTTGTCCGTGGCCATATAGCTGCAATCATGGGGTACCCGCTCCTTAGCCGCAATGTGGATGCAAGCACTGACTCCATTGGGCTGACTGTCGTCACAGATGCGAAGGATGTGTATGACAAGGGCAGCAGCGATACCCCGAGCTATGGATCACAGAAGTCATTGGCCTTCACGGTGGCTTGGATCCGTGGAATGCTCCAGCGTGCCAACACAAGCCTGCGTTGGACCTCAACGGAAAACATGTTCGTTGATGCTGGAACGAAAGATATGGACTTAGATCATATGCATCGAATTCTGGATGAGTGCGAATGGTGTGCCAAATACACCTCTTCCTTTATCAAGCAGACTAACAAAGGGAACAAGATGCGCTCTGCCGAGACCTGTCCTGAGCCTTCAATTGTTGGCGAGCCGGTTTCTCCGGAAGATGCCCTACTGCCTCACCTGACAACCCTGAGCGAATGTACAGGCTGGCATGAACGTAGTGGCTATGGTGTACATGTAGCTAGGAAAGCCAGTAGCTTCCGAACTCCATCTCCCCGGTTTGAGGCCACAGATTTTCCTCACCGGACGACTTTTGCCAGATTGGACTTTAAGAACGGTCATTGCGAATGGCGTAAGTTGGAAGATCGTGAGAACTATATGGATTTGCAGAATCCCCAAGCGTTGTTTGGTACAACAGCAGCCGTTCTTGTGACCTTCTTTCATCCAAAAGGCCGGCATGAATCCACAAAAGAAGAAGATGGACTGTGAACTGTCCATGGATTCATGCATGTGCCAATCTCATGCTGCGACTGCCGTCGCTCCTTTTGGCTGAAAGGCCTTGACCCGAGATAGTGCTACGCTGCAGGATAAACCGGATGTCCTTTTGATCGTTTGCCAGCGGTGGACGTTTGACAAATATAGTTGGATAGTTGGGTGATGTTTGACTGGGATGGCCATCACCACCCCTTTGGCAGGGAAAGGGTTACTCCGATGGTTGTGCTAGCTGCATGGCCAAATTGGTGGAGTGCTCCCGCGACAAGTGCATGAACCAATGCATCAGCAACGACAAGAGCGCTGCCTGCACTGGTTGTGTGAAGAGAGGCTGCCGTCCAGGCATGAAGGCTTGCAGCGGCCTGAATGCTGGCGGCCACTGAGGGCACAGTGAACGCCACAGGCTGTCCATGGCCCATATGTGGTCATGAGAATACCAGGACTCCGCTCGGCCACATGCAATCGTTCCAAACATATCTGTGCCGGGTTAGAAAAGGAAGCGGCTCTTCACTGTTTGACTTTGACCAGGTTTGTTGCATCAATTTTGGGGATGTTGGGAGATTGAACCTAGTGGAAGCTGTGCTAATGGTACTGTTTTGGGCTGTAGGAGCATTCTTCCTTGCTCTTGTGGTTTGTTTGTACCTAAGGATCCTAAGGTGTAAATATCCGAGAGTTTGCTTTTGCACACTGGTCTTTTGTCCATTCAGAGTTTCAGCACGCCTGAACCATGGAATCATTTCGGGCATGCGAGCTGTTGGCCCTTAGTGCTCAACTTTCCCTCTGAAAACAGTGCATTCCTGTGGCAGTATGGCCACGAAGTTTCTGTTGACCTTTGTGACCCTGGCCTTGGCAGCTGAGACAGTGGACTCCACTTTGGAGGCTCTTGAGGCGGATGATTCATGTGCCCTGGAACTGAACCAGCTTCGTGGCATGAAGGACGTGAACTACCATGATGCTTTGATGGAAGAGGACGAAGATGAAGAACCCAATGTGGAAGGTGGCGCATGCACCAACAGCAAGGACCTAAACTTTGGAAGAAAAGCGGAAGGAAGAGCTTCGACCCTTCACTGAACCAGTGCGGCCGTTCCTGCGCTGCAGGCTTCGCTTGCACCAAGAGCTGCATGCAGGCAGGGCTTTAGCGCCTTTAGGGGAGGCAAAAACTCGTTTGTTTGATTTGTTTTGGAGAGTTGGACCACCTTTGCATGGTTGATGGAGATGCAATATAGTTGGATAGTTGGGTGATGTTTGACTGGGATGGCCATCACCACCCCTTTGGCAGGGAAAGGGTTACTCCGATGGTTGTGCTAGCTGCATGGCCAAATTGGTGGAGTGCTCCCGTGACAAGTGCATTGGTTCATGCATCAGCAACGACAAGAGCGCTGCCTGCACTGGTTGTGTGAAGAGAGGCTGCCGTCCAGGCATGAAGGCTTGCAGTGGCCTGAATGCTGGCGGCCACTGAGGGCACAGTGAACGCCACAGGCTGTCCATGGCTCATTTGGTCATAAGAATACCAGGACTCCTCTTGGCCACATGCAACCGTTTCAAACATATCTGTGCCGGGTTAGAAAAGGAAGCGGCTCTTCACTGTTTGACTTTGACCAGGTTTGTTGCATCAATTTTGGGGATGTTGGGAGATTGAACCTAGTGGAAGCTGTGCTAATGGTACTGTTTTGGGCTGTAGGAGCATTCTTCCTTGCTCTTGTGGTTTGTTTGTACCTAAGGATCCTAAGGTGTACATATCCGAGAGTTTGCTTTTGCACCCTGGTCTTTTGTCCATTCAGAGTTTCAGCACGCCTGAACCATGGAATCTTTTCGGGGCATGCGAGCTGTAAGCCCTTAGTGCTCAACTTTCCCTCTGAAAACAGTGCATTCCTGTGGCAGTATGGCCATGAAGTTTCTGTTGACCTTTGTGACCCTGGCCTTGGCAGCTGAGACAGTGGACTCCACTTTGGAGGCTCTTGAGGCGGATGATTCATGTGCAGCCGGGGGAGACTGCAGCCTGGAACTGAACCAGCTTCGTGGCATGAAGGAGGTGAACTACCATGATGCTTTGATGGAAGAGGACGAAGATGAGGAAGCCAATGTGGAAGGTGGCGCATGCACCAACAGCAAGGACCTGAACTTCTGGAAGAAAAGCGGAAGGAAGAGCTTCGACGGTTCACTGAACCAGTGCGGCCGTTCCTGCGCTGCAGGCTTCGCTTGCACCAAGAGCTGCATGCAGGCAGGGCTTTAGCGCCTTTAGGGGAGGCAAAATCTCGTTTGTTTGATTTGTTTTGGAGAGTTGGACCACCTTTGCATGGTTGATGGAGATGTAATATAGTTGGATAGTTGGGTGATGTTTGACTGGGATGGCCATCACCACCCCTTTGGCAGGGAAAGGGTTACTCCGATGGTTGTGCTAGCTGCATGGCCAAATTGGTGGAGTGCTCCCGCGACAAGTGCATGAACCAATGCATCAGCAACGACAAGAGCGCTGCCTGCACTGGTTGTGTGAAGAGAGGCTGCCGTCCAGGCATGAAGGCTTGCAGTGGCCTGAATGCTGGCGGCCACTGAGGGCACAGTGAACGCCACAGGCTGTCCATGGCCCATATGTGGTCATGAGAATACCAGGACTCCGCTCGGCCACATGCAACCGTTTCAAACATATCTGTGCCGGGTTAGAAAAGGAAGCGGCTCGTCTCCAGTGTTGTTCCGTTGTTCCTGATATCCATTTTGATGAAGACAAGAGTGACATATTTGATTGTTTTGCTTCTCCCACTTAGCCATTGTGAATGTTGCAAACTGAAGAGCAGTAAGCCTTTTTCAGCAACACCTATCTGGTGTCGAGGTCGACATCAAGTGCCACCACCAGTTGAACGAGGAGAATGAGAAAGGCCTTTCGGCTCAGAACGCTGCAACTTGAACTTTTGACAAGCACAACACTTTGCACACCACATCAAACCTATTTGCAGATCGGTGCCAAGGAGAGGATGAGGTTGCAAAGCTTAGCTGCTGAGATGAGATGGTGACCCACGGCAATATCTCCTTCATTTTCAATCGAGCAATTGAGATTTGAAGCGCGCAGCAGCAATGTCCGCATCATTGGCAGTTTCAACACTTGTTGTCTGCAATTTCTTGGCTGGAGTCGGTTTGCTGACGAAGCGGCTCAAAAAGCGGCTAGTGCTGTCAATCGAAATGTTGAGAGACCTGAAAAGCCGTGGAAAATTCTACAAAATTAGACTTAGCGGATGAACCACATATTTCCACATTTGCTCTGCAGGACCACTGCAGCGAGGCAGCTTTGAAGGACCGACGTGCTCGCGGAAACAGACAGGCCTGGGACGAAGTACGTTGTTATGTCGGATGTCATACAACCCAGAGAACCAGAGAATACTTCCATTAATATCTAAAGTAAGTGAATCAAGTGGGTGACCGACATAAACCAAAGTGACTGCTTTGCTTTTTCTTCGATGCACACGGGATTACCTAGCATGCTCCTTACTGTGATTACTACCCTCAATGCAAGCGAGCAGAAGTGGGAAAGTCTGGCTGCTTCTGTTGGAAGCCAGTTCAGTCGGCACCTTTCTCAGTGCAGGGGAGAGACGATCTTTGGCACATTTAAGTAGAGACGAAGAAAGGTGGTAGATGCTGTTTTGATGGTGCAGACGCTGGAATTATTGGGAAGTTGCTGTTGGATCTGTTGGCAAAGACGAGCAGAAACGTCACCCTCAGAGCAGTTCGAGCATTCGATCTCTGATCTCAAGCCCAGCTTGTACAAAGCAACTACGGATGGAACAAAACATGAAACTTTGACCAGAGCAGAGTTTTCACCAAGACAGATGTTTTTGGCACTCAGTAGCTTTCCTTCTTTGTTTACCTGTTGCATATTTTGTGCCTCATCGCTTTAGCTCAGACTTGTCCAAAAACAGATTTGCAACGATTTACAACGGTTGGATATCAATGATTTATATTTGGTCATTGGAGACAGACAACTTATGACAACTTGAAAGGTCTGCCATCTCAACAACCAGCGGTTGCACCTTCGCTCCGAGTGTTTTACTCGAACCTCCATGACCTTCGCATTGCCCGGAAACTCACCGGTAGAAAACGATGGACATTGATGGACTCAATGCTGGCGCTGAGTCTCTAGAGATGGCTGAATCAGGTGACCGACTGGGTGAGAAATGGTGTGAGAAATGGTGTGAGAAATAGTTGAAATGGAAGAATTTTGAGATGGGTTTGAGATGACGAACCTTCGATCTGTGATGAGGCGAGATCATTTTTAATAAATTTTCTGTAAGGAAACTTGGGCCCTTGGGTGTAGGGGCTGGACGTTTTTCCACTTGGATTCCAATCGATCTCCGTGGCCGGTGACTGCCTTGTGCAGTTACATCCCACGAGAGGTACAGTTGGACATTGGGGCAGCGACCCTCGCAACATGGCAGAATTGACACTCTGCCAATGCCAACTCCAGAACGTGGCACTGATAGCAGTGTCAAGCTAAGGCATAGCGACCATCGCCTTGAGCCGTCTTGCAAAGCGAGGAGAAGCAAACGAGGTCAGCAGATTGTTGGACAAATTGCTCCATTCGGGTGCCTGGGCAATTATGGCAATTAGACTTATATAGACTATACCTTCAATCGTGTTGAATGGGGTCTTGACCCATACCTACGATGTGGATGAACTGAATGAACTGAAGGTCTGCAGCTGGATGTAGTGCACTGGGGTGCTGCAAGCCGGGCTTTTGAGCTGGAAAACCAATGGAGGCGCGGCTTGTTTGGTTTCAGAAAGGAAATGCCAAATTATGATGCTTTAGTGATGAGGAATTGAAGAATGGAAGAGTTATGTAACCGAACTAATCAGAAGTCATTCGTATACACACTGAGGCAATCGATTTCTATGGTGCAGCTTGGGCGGACGCTTGAGATCCCTCCAAACGAGTTTCTCTTTAGTTCTGTCACTTGGCCAGTCACCTTGCACTTGCGGCACCTTGTGGCAGCTTGAGCTTGTTTATTTCTCGTTGATCTTGTTCGTCACCTGAAGACTGGACGACTAAGTAAGGCAGTATCCAGTTGTGCACGGAACGAAGCATGGTCGATGGGCTTGAACCTTGTCAGTGAGGGCTCGCACAGATGCGGAATCAATGAGACTTGGCGAAACATCGCTGGCCATCTATCCCTGCTGATGACATGCTATGATTGAAAAGATGATTGGGAACATTGTTAACCTACAATTGGAATGATAGATAATAATAGAGCAACCGTAAAAACCCCGGCAATACTAAATATGTATTCGACGGACATTGGCTTATGGAAATTGATGGAAATTGTTAAAAACACGAGGTAAGCGATGGGACCTTCCCAAATTAGCGATACCCCTTTTCAAGGTTATGTCATCATATTTCTCTAATATCCACATTAGCGATACCCAAATATCACATATTATTCATAGTTCATCATCATATATATATATAAATACAGCAGTTTCCTGCAAGCGATACCCCCCAAGTTTACCATATATCATTATTGTACAAACGTGTGGTAAGCGATGGGACCTTCCCAAATTTGTGAATGTCCTTTCCGTGAACCTAGGGTTTTCACAATCGCTCTAATAATGATAGACAATGAAAGATAATAATAGATAATAATAGACTGATAATAATAGATAATAATAGATGAACATAGATACTAATAGATAATAAGATATAATAATAGATAATACTATATAACAATAGATCATAATACACAATAACAGATAATAATAGATGATAATAATAAATAATCACAACTAATAAAGATGATAATCAATCAAAATCATAATGCTACTACTAATAATGATTATAATGCTAGTAATAATCACAACAATAATAGTAATGATAATAAGAATAACAATAATAATAACAATAATAATTATAATGATAATAACAAATAACAATAATAATGATAATTATAATAATGATGGTACTGTAATAACAAATAGTAATAATGACAATAAACATAGTATCAATTAATATATATATACATATACATATATAGACTATAAACTATAGATCACTAAAGATATCTTTCAATGGAATGGGTTATTGGGAGTGAAAAAACCGTTCGCTTTGAGGCGGTGGATGTTGTGCCATGTGCCGCTTATTCCAAGGAGTTTATGAACGTTGGAGCCATTTCTGCCTGCCACCACTGGGACTTTGCGGTTCACCTACTGGAGATGACTTGTGAGCCTTGGCCTTGACTTACATCAGACTGTACATCTACAACCCATTTTCTTGCAGTCTAGGACAGTCTAGGAAAGTCGAATGCAATGTCTTCTCGTTTGTACTTGTTGCACTTGCTTAGATACCAAAGACAAAGAGACGAAGAGACGGTGTAGAGGGTGTGTCCTACTCTTCAGGACTTGCATCTTCAGCCAGGACAGGTGGCATTTGGTGCCACCATCGGAGCTTGCTCGAAGGCAACATTTTCCTTTTGATGTGACAAATTTTGTGGCTTTGTCATCAAAAAAATCCCCAAATCACCCAAATCCCCCAGGGTTTGGAAAATCATGCGCACCATCTTTGATCATTTTGGATACTATCCAGGAATGTCAGGCAAAGATTGCAGCACCGACACTTTCATTCTCAGAGCTTCAGGCAGACCACTGGCGAGCAGCAGAGAGCCTTCTCCAAAGTGCTTCGGACGCCTTGAGATGGCAAACGCGGCAAGCAATGTGCGGGCAAAAGAATGAACGCTTTGTCATGCCGCATAGTTTCGCAAATATCGTGGATTCCAAACCATTCCTTAATGTTTTTCGGCCTGGCCGAAACGTACGCCTAGCAATCATTTGTAGTTGATTTTCCTATGAAAAGTTAGAACTTCCATTTACAAGGAATCTTCAACTGCCATGTTTGATTACCGGAGGGTAGATCAGCTGTATGTTTGGCTTGAGATGTAAGTGTGGACAGTCTACGCACTCTACGTACCTGATGTCTCAGGTATGTGGGATGTTCCTCGGTGACTGGGCGACAGCTGCGTCACAATGCTGAAACGGAGGGCTGATATTCGCAGACTTTAGATGCTTTGAAATGCCTTTAAGATCTTTAAGCGCCTGTCAGAAATTTGTTTTTTTCAATTCATTGACTCGACTACTTTTCTTCAGGACGCTTGTGGCTGTCAATTCCTGCTGTGCTGCATGTGCGGGGGCGAGACGCTGGCGCAAATCCCTGACACACCTGCACCTTATGTGCCACGTCGCAGATCCAATGAGTTGACAGTTATTTGAGCAAGGGTTGTTGCCTGCCAATCAGAGAATGGTTTCTGCCAACATCGAATGCCCGTTCCTGCTCAGGCCGGTCCTGGCGTTGCAACCCAATCTCATCTCTTTCAATTCTTCCATGGCTGCATGTCACTTGTGCAGCATTTGGGCAAAAACACACATATTTTCTGAGTGACATGCCGCAAATATATGTAAATATAGCAGTTCTATCCAATTCCGCAATCTATGTGGCAAAGGCTTCTTGGGTTTCTTTGTTTTGTAATGCCATTCGGGTTACACCATGTTGCGTGCGCCTTTGAGGTGAAAAAGGCTACGAATGGGAGCGTGGCCTCATGATCTTAGCTTCAATGGAGGTGGCTCAAGTGGTGCCAGCCGCTGGTCTGCAAGAGGTTCCAGGATGCTTTTTGGGTGTGGCACGACTCACCCAGACACGCATTACGCGCATTGTCATGACAATCATCCTGGACACATTTTTTGTTCTGAAGAAACGATATGTGATGACAGCTGTTACTCAGGAGATCATCAGTTTTGGCTCAGCGATCAGCGCATGTGAGAAGGGAGGACAATGGCAGTTGGCTCTACATTTGCTGCGGCGAATGAGTGCAAGGCGACCTCCACCATAAACTTGAGCAAACAGCTCTCTTTGACATGCCACTACTATGTCTATTTGGTCTATCCCGGTGGTCCCCCATAAAAGGCATGATCATGCGACTACTATGTCAAGAACTTTGCAGCAATTCAACTTCCATGAAGACCTTATATGATCTTACAGCATCGTAGCGTTGGTCTTACGACTTCAAAATTCCGAGCTGTGATAATTTCAACCCGCCATTCGACATGGTTCTTGGCCTTGCTGCATCTAAGGCACCTCCGAGCCGATGCGGTGGCGCTCAGTGCGGCCATGAGTGCCTGTGAAAAGGTGCCGTGTGGACCTTGATCGACCTTCCATGACCCCTGGATCCGGCAAATCGTTGCCAGATCCATCGCAGATTGTCCAGTCAAGTCCAAGATTCCAATCATTTCCATAGTTCATGTAATTCATGTACGTCCATGTCAGGTCAAGTCCATGTCAAGTCCGGACCAAGATTTGGGCAAGGTCCATATCAAGAAGCAATGGCATTCCTGATCAACCCGCCAGTGTCACAGATATGTCACAAATATGTCACAGATTCAAGACCTGAGAAGTCTATGATCAAATAATCGCCAACGCGTGCTGTACAATGTCTCCTTGATAGCAGTTGATTGCTTGTGAAGGCCGGAGAGTGGCAGACAGCCCTGGCACTGCTCCAGCCTACTTTGTAGCTCTGCTGCAGGAAGAATGGTTCAGCACATTTGCATGTTTCCAAAGTGGTAGCACGGACAACAGTACCAAAGTATTGGGATTCTATTTGCGCACGGTGCAAGGGAAACTTCGCGCACTTCGAGGGACAGGGGCTGCGCCTTTTCTGCAGCCTTGGGAGCTGCAGAGCATGGCATGGCGTGGGCTATGGCCCTGGCGCTCTTCAAAAGGGCGCTCGAAGAGCGTGTCAGTGCATCAGGCAGCGGCAGCAGCGATGTCATGGCAATGATTTGCCGCCTGTTGAATCCTTGCGAGGTATGTATGCAGGAGCTGTGGCCAGTGCCATCCGCAAGGCTCGTGGCAAGGAAGCGGCAGCACCCTGGCGAAAATCTTAATTTTTATGGCCCTGGTTAGCCATTGAGGCAACCTCTATCCTTCTGAGGTCGACTTCCTGAAATGCTCCAGACACTTGTGGGAAGATGGACCACACGAGGCCGTGGACTTCATGGACTTTGCACTTCAGTCTGTTCAGTGTTGATGTTGACAGATGTTGACAGATGTTGACAGATGTTGACTCGAATTGATGCGGCAGGCTCGCAGACCTCTGCCGGGACTCTTGTGGAGTGAGCTGCTTAGGTGTCACGATGTGTCAAGATGTTTCACGATGCGTCACGGCATCTCATCACTGTTCCGAGTTGAAAAACGCCCAGGCCGTGTGGAAATCCTGGGCAAAGCATCGGGACTTGTGGTGGTCTCCAAGGCTGCAAACGTTCGCACAGAGCCTGTGATGAATCGATGATTTGGCTATCGCACTTGAAGACTCGTGAAGGTTGAAAACAAAGCACTTGGCACTGTTTCTGAGGAGAAGCTGGTTGATGCAGCCTGCAAGCAGATGCAAGAGGACAGACCATGACATACTGTTTCGCTGAAGAGTTTGATGTTTGAAGCTTTAAACCTTAATCAATCTTTGTAGGTGCTTCTTGATGCAAAGATGCTTGGAACAAACATTCGACACATTCTCTGGCTCAACAAAAACGGTCGGCTGCGGCATGCAACTTCAGCAGCCTCAGAAAATCTTGTCCAGGAGCTATTTGTGGTTTCACGACTGGACAGACCCACCTCTGGCCTTCTACCCTTGGCAACAAGTCTTCAGGCAATGAACTGGCTGCAGGCCGCACTTTTAGGGCAATCGTGTTGAAACTTATGAGTTGGACTCCGAGTGTACATTGGCAGCCCTGAGTTTCGTAGCTTGTTCTTATTCTGCTGGCGTTTGTGGCTTGATGCCAGGCTCAATTTGCTGCCAGACTCGTGTACAAGGAATATGCTCCTCGGCCAAAAGAAAACAAGCCAATTCAGATGGTGCAGAATTCTGTACACCAGATCCGAGGGATCTAATAATAGCCTGCAGGAGAATAAGACTTGGACACTCCAACCTTGCCTCAAATGGGCTCCCATTCCACATCTTTCCACACTGCCAGGTTTGTCTCTGCGAGGGCAAATCGCTGGGCGACATAGGCGGGGATCGTGACATAGTGAGAGCAGGATAGAGCAGGTTATCTCCCTGGAGGTGCCGAGGGAACCATTGACAAGCCGCTGCGTTCTTGGATTTGGCCCGGAGAAGTCGGAAGGACTGGGGTAAAAAGACATAAAAAGACGGTTGAATTATGTTGAATTATGTTGAATTATGTTGAATTATGTTGAATTATGTTGATTATGTTGAATTATGTTGAATTATGTTGAATTATGTTGAATTATGTTGATTATGTTGAATTATGTTGAATTATGTTGAATTATGTTGAATTATGTTGAATTATGTTGAATTATGTTGAATTATGTTGAATTATGTTGAATTATGTTGAATTATGTTGATTATGTTGAATTATGTTGATTATGTTGAATTATGTTGATTATGTTGAATTATGTTGAATTATGTTGAATTATGTTGAATTATGTTGATTATGTTGAATTATGTTGAATTATGTTGAATTATGTTGAATTATGTTGAATTATGTTGATTATGTTGAATTATGTTGAATTATGTTGAATTATGTTGAATTATGTTGGATGTAATTTATGTAAAAAACGTATGTATGCTGTAATACTGTATGCATATGAACCTATGGTACGCAATATCTATAATTTGCACGTGCCACTTGTCCTTGTATAGTGACAATAACGCAACCCTGTCAAGGACTGAAGTTGCTTCCTTCGGGCGGGAAGCTGTTACTGACTATCGCGTTGTCGAGCGCTTTGGTGCAGGCCATGGGATGCCAAGAACCCATGGGTTGCGATTCTGCAGATTCCCACCAGGCCCATCGGAATTGATGCTACTTTCAGTGCATCCGCGAACAGGCAAGGATCATGCTTGAAATGTGGACATGTCTTGGCGTGGATGATTTCGTCCATAAATCTGAAAAGGATGATACCGAGAAAACGTATTTGTAGGATATCCATGTTTCACCTTGCATTTTCTCGTTGCTTCACTTTGATTTACTTCGTAAATGTATGTCACATGTCACCTAAGGACCTAATGTCATGTCACATCGTGTCACCAATGGTGTTGCAGGGCGCATGCACCAAATTCGAGCCCACCTTGCCAGCATCAACCGTCCAATTGTGGGCGACGAGATCTACGGTCCCTTGAGCGCATTTCAGCGGTGGAGAGCATCATAAAATGTAGATAAAATATCATAAAAACAATGTAATATTAGTATAATATAATATAATATAATATAATATAATATAATGCAATATGTTCTAATCATCATACTATCATAGCCATTGGTCAAGAATTGAGGCCCGACGTTTCTTTCACTTTTTCTTTCACTTCTCTTGTATACCAGCCTCTATATTGTCTCAGGTGTGGAGTTTCCGTCTGCAATTGACTGTGGCTCGGTGTTCGATTCCAAAAGTCTTGCAAAAGTCTGTACACAGGGCATCCTCAGCTCAAACTCCTTTGATTTGGACTGCATTGTTTGAAGAAAGCAGAGTTAAGACACTGTGTATGTTTTCAACGGCCATTGCAAAGGTGATCGGATGTTTTTGCACTGCCGGCATCAACGCTTCTTGGATTTTGCAGCTTCACCTTTCGAAGTGACGGCTGAATTGCCCAGCGAGCTGCAAGACGTCCTGGTGAAACTGCGACAGTCGCGATGAGACACGGCATCAGATCCATCAGGTTCCGAAGGGCCTGGAAGTTTAGAAACAAGGCAAGGCAAGAGCACTTGCACTCGTTTCAAGTAATGTGGCGCACGCTTGGCCTTCAGGGCACGGTGAGGCATTGCCAGTTTTACTTCAGAGTATGGCGTTGCCGTCACTTTATCGATCCAATGACTGGCCTCTGCTCCAAGCAGCGGAAAGACCAGAATTTCTGAGCCACGACTCAAAAGACCAGCCGCAGACTTTTCTCAATGAGGCCACGCAGCCACAGTGGAGTAGGTACATGTAAGAATATTGAAGGAGTTTCCAACTGGTACCCCGTAGCACACTCCTACACGTACGATATGGCCAATTACGGCCATACCGTATGACAGTATGCAATTGCTGCCCAGGTGCGAAGAGAACGTGAAGCCTCGCAGTGCGAGTGCTGATGCACGCCAGGCCATGAATTCTCACGAATACCTGGGGATAGTGACGATTCCGTGCCAAATGTCTCAAGACATTGAGTGTTGATAGCAAGGCCCAGCGTAAACAAAAAACTCTGCGATAAGAACATGTCTGCCAATGTCTGCCAATGTCTGCCAATGCTTGCCATATCTTGCCATGTTGTGTTTGCCCCTTTGGGAGTGTGCTTTGACATGCAGAGGCAGTGATGTTCCAGGGCAAGGGGGTCATGATTGGATCAGAGGTGCGACCTATTGCGACGTTCAGACGATGTGATACTGTATGTGACGACAACGATGTAGTTGAATTTGTGGCAGCAAAGGTTTGATTCTTGATTAGTCCGAACTCAAACTGGACAGCAGGATCGAATCAATGACCACCGGCGGCGAAGTGAACGAAACTACTCTGACCTTTTTGGCACTGGCAGTGCGAGGCAGGAAGGACTTTTTAAAATGCTGCTTATGAGGCTGTCAAAATGTCAAGATTGTCAAGGGCTTACAAACTAGGGACCTCAAGTAGCCCCCGGTTTTCCTGGCGGCTAAAATCATCCATTAGATTAGCTTCCATCACATGTTCAATGAAAACTAGCCATTTTTTCATCATTTTTGCATCATTTTTCATTCCCCAGATTGAAATAGTGGAGGCCCCTCTCGCTGGGTGAAGCTGGACGTAGTGAACTCCATGCGGCTGCAACCGCATCCTGGCTGGATGCCACCACAGAGACATCTGCGAGGAGAGCGGAAACTGCTGTGACACAAACTTTGGAAACTTGGTTATTGATGGTTATTGTATAGCACAATATGTGTTGAAAAATATTTATAATTTAGAATTTATAAATATTTTTCAACACATATTTGTGCTATACACAACCACTATTGAATACAATTCACCAATAATGGTGCACAAACATTAGAATAATGATATCATATAGTTTCAATTATTTTCTTATAATATTATAGGGATTGATGTGGTATAATAATGGTATAACGGTATACGGTATACCTATGATAGAATACTATATTATCTTAGATTAATAATTGATAAATGGTCATATACATATCATAGACTACATATTTTGACACTGGGCAAGTGGAAACTAGGCTTCTTTTTGCATTTCCATCTTCTGATCATCTCGGATGCATCGAGATTCAAAACTGTCAACTCATTTTTACACGCCCAAACCTGCCAGGAATTTGGAACGACGAAATGGCGACTTGGACAACACGTTGATGAAACGAAGCAAGCGTTGTTTTTTGGACCAACCTATGTCACCCAGTATCCATTGATGATTTTCCCACAATTGATCATTTCCTACGAAAGATTGAGAGTTCCTGCTGTCACTTACGAGGTTCTAGAGAAGGCAACTTGGTCTACGACGCGCACGCCAAGTCTGTGGAATCGGCCCCTTGGATCCCAGCATGACTCGATGGTGTTGCATAGAGACCCTGAGGACCCTGAGGACCCTGAGGGTATGGGAGGAACAACTCATGGAACCTTTGAAACAAGTCATGGAGCATCGGAGCATCGGAGTCGCATCGCTGCGGTCAGATTGCCTTGCCACTTTCTCCGCGAAGCAGTGCTAGGCAGCTGGGGGCGATTTCACAACACAGAGCAGAGAAAAACCAAAGTTTGTTGAGAAGAAACATGGGATTGAGAGAGCGAATAATGTGTTGGTGCCGGCTTGCTTCAGGCAGGTGGATCTTATGCAGGAGGACGGAATGGGAAAGGCATGTAGGCTGTCTAGAGTCTAGACATGTCTACACTGTGTCTACACTATGTCTAGACATTTTTTGAACCGTGCGGTTGCTTTTCGTTGCTGAGGAGCGAGCCTGCTGGGATCTGTCACCCAAAGTGGGCAGCATGGCCAGCGCAGCTCGAAGCTCGTGTAGCCATGGTGCCATGGTGCCATGGTGCCATGGAAATCATAGAACTGCGTTGAGGTCGAGGTTGCGAGACGCCAAAGAGAGCCGCGGAGGCCTCGGTCGTATGATGCAGGCCCGGACTGACAAGTCATTGCCACTGCTTTGCCACTGCTTTGCCACTGCATGCTTCAGCTGTTCACTCTATCTCTATCTTACAGCAGCGAGGCAGTTTTCGATCTTTTCGGAATGCATCTCATGGCAGGGAACTTCAGAGCCTTAAGTGCCTCCGAACGGAAGCATGTGAATGCCTCAGTTGTGGCTGCACAAGGCTGCACAAGGCTGCACAACATACGACAATCTGTTTCTTGGATATTCGGCTGTAGGCGAATCTAGCTTCTGGGCAGCTGCGATGTGCCACCGGGGCAAAGCCGCTACCACATGATGATGGCACGCCGGGGAATTAGGGTTGGGATCACTTTGACCAATTTGCACAGTTATTTGCTGACTCAATTCAGAAGGGATCTTGTGGCTAGAAGCGCAGACATATCTGGTCCCACTGTGGCAAGGCAGGCAATCACCACTCGCGAGAGGTAGTCGTCGCGGAGCAGGGATACTCAGACTCTTGGGCTCTCCTTGCAGCTTGTGATTTGGGGTGCCTGAGCCGAGCAAGATTGTTCAATACAGCTCAAGTGCTGTACAAAGATCCGAAAGATAGCATTCCAAGACCTCGCAAATTCTAAATTGCCCATGATTTGCAGATACTCTCAGAACAAAGAAGATGAGGGTCGCTCAGGTTCTTCCCTTTTCTTTCTTACTTGTATTAGACCAGAGCTCAAGAGGCTTGGGATTAAGAATCTAGCCGCTAGCCTCTCAACGTGAAGGTCCCTCAATTTTTTAAGGTCAGTAAGAACTGGATACAGGTTGGCATTGGCGCCGAACCCCTCAAATTCTTGTACATATGGTGCTTTTCCGTATTTTTCTTGGGTTCTGTTGCATGCAGCCGTGCTGAGACAGGAGACTCGGTGGGTACCAAAAGACACATTGGGGAACTGCAGCGAAGCAAACTCCTTGGAGATTGCCACAGAATTGACATAGAGAATATATGATATATATATTTAAGGGCTGCCGCCCCTGCCGCCGACCCCGGAAAAATTAGACCTCGATTTTTTGATCTTCCACCTTGTTTCTTTGACCCCCCACCTTGCCTTTTCGAGGCGCTTGCTACAATAGTATGGATATTATATATATATGTATATATATATATATGGGCCCTATTATTATACATAGAAAGAGGAAAAGGCCGGGTGGTCACTTTGGAAGAAGATTTGGTGGACCGGGCGTGGTAAACCGGCTGGATTGATAGCTTGCTTACAGGTACGCAGGACCCCCTTCCGTTATATGTTGATTTATAATCCCATCTGACTATAGATGTACCCACCATAACTCCAAGTTATTTGGTAACCAAATGGCAAATCGTTTGGGGGCCACCGGGGATATCTATGGATATCTCGTATTTGTATACAATACAGTATGTATAGTTTTGTACATATCATATGATATATCATACATCTCACTATGATTAGATATAATATTCACATATATATATATATAGTACACTCATTCTATATTAACGTATACTCACGTGAAATCAAATGAAGACATATAGAGAGCACCCAACATAGATAGCCGATATTGAATTATCACTATTCTAGTAGGATTATTGTCAAAAAACATATCTTTTTTGGCATTGCTAAAATATACCCTCGGGTAAACGAACACAGGGCTTCCATAGAAACATGTCATGAAATCCAATGAAATCAGCTTTTTTTGTTGGGAAAATCCCATATCAACCCTATCCAAAATCCGATTACTTCCACTAAAATCACCATGCGATCTGATTGAATCATGAAATCATATCTGGTTGGTGGTTTGGAACGTTTTTTTATTTTTCCATAGATTGGGAATAATAACCCCAACTGACTTACTCATATTTTTCAGAGGGGTAGGTATACCACCAGCCAGATATGAAACAACATGAATGTCCATTGAATCCCACACTTTCCATCCAAAGCCACTGGTGGAGTCCTTTTTGTGGATGAAGCCTATTCTCTGAAGAAGGCTCGGTTTTCATGGGCCGGGGATGGGCTAAGTCACAGGTTCTAGGTAAACAAGAGAAATCATCCCTAAATGGTCGCAAGATTCAGGTTAGCGAAACATGATAATTTACTTATATAGATCTATAGAGATTGTTTGGTAGCGTTTTGGAGGAATGGTCATTTGCAGTATGACATCATCCGTTTTGTCAGGAAATGGAGTCATATGGAGTATACTGGCACAGGTATACCCCCAAATCCAAATGGTTATTTTACATGGGGAAGGTGATGATACACCTGTGTCTATATTGTTATTTTCCCCAATAGTTGGGATAATAATCCAATCTGATAAATATGTTTCAGGGGGGTTGAAACCACCAACCAGATTAAAAATGGATATTACTGCTGTGGTAAATGGGATTGATTTCGCCAGTATCCGAATTGATAGATAATTCAACAGTTTGCGAAGTGGAAAATTACAATGATAGGGAAATCATTGAACTAAATCATTGAACTCAATGGGCCAAAAAAAAATCCATATCTATGGTAAAAATTACTGGTTGGATTGGATTGAAACCACCAATCAGGGATACGGTGGCTGAACATTCGCTGCAGTAGAATGTAACAATGTTGCTAGGAAACTGAATGACAAGAAACTGATCAACAACGGGATGTGGATGACTACATACCCTATTTTGTAACATCTTGTCACCCTGAATAGGGAAATTGTTTAGATTTGAACCCTAAAAAAGCTTAACCAGTAAACATTGGTTGAAACATTGTGTCAAAGAATAGGCGGGAAGCCAGTCAAGTCAAACTGGTGAGGTAGATGTGTCTAATCTTTTGGTAGGTTGGTAGTGTAGCTTGAGATGCTCTTTCTTCACAATGCATTTTTGGGGGCATGGTTTAACTGTCCAATCGATTTTAGGTAAAAAATTGGTTGAAATTTCATATCTGGATGATCATGGGCCGACTTTCTCGGCGAGGTCTTTGGTGTGGGGCTCAGATGATCAACTCTTCTCCGGTGGTATGGCCTGGACCCCGGCCCGATAGGGCGAGGTTGCATTTGAGCGGCCCTGTTGTGACACAATGCAGTATATTATATTATATTATATTGTACTATATTATATTTTATTATATTATATTGTATTTTATTATAGTATGTTATTTTATATTTTATTATATTATGTGATTTTTCATTATATTATATTATATTATACTATATTACATTATTATGTTGTATTATATTAAATTATATTACATTATATTATGTTATATTATATTATATTAGTTTATATTATATATATATATTATTATATTATATTATTAAATTATATTACATTATATTATGTTATATTACATTATATTACATTATATTATGTTATATTAAATAATATAATGTAATATAATTTAATATAATATACTATAATATTATATCATAATTATATTTATTATATTATATTATATATTACATTATATAATATAATATTACATTATATTATGTTATATTCCATTATATTATATTATATAACATTATATTGTATATATGTAAATTTGAAGAACATCCTCAAATTTGATGTCACACATGTCCTTGTTGTCTATTTGCTTGCTATGTTGACCTAATTATAGAAGCAGTCTATTCTCACACAGGCGCAAGTTTGTTGCAAAGATTTTCAGGTTATTTCTTTTCACCAGGTCATGGTTTCTTCTGGGGGGAAAGACTCCAGCCGAATTGCAACATGAAATCCCAACAAAGGTGTTTGGATTTCCTGTTTCCAATTGGACAAATTTGGGTCCATGTGAAGACGTGAAGACAAGGGGCCAAAACTCTTGGAACATTCACCAGAGATATTTAAAAGAGTGTCCAAACAATATCCAAATATGATCAAATATGTACACATATATCGAAAAACACGAGGATGCTGAATAATTCTGACACCAACGGCACCTGATTTTGTTGGTGATTTGGATGTTCCTTTTGCAGGATGGCACGGTGCGCGCTTGGGACACCCGTATGGGGGCACGGAGCCTCTTCCTATGCGACCTCTATGCGCACGAAGGTGCGTAGCTATGGGTGGCGTTTTCTTGGGGCTAGCATGAGCCAGGAGACAAGTGACTGCTTGGTGAATTCACGTGTTTGAGAGTTATGGTTGGAAGGATATGAGACCACCATCCAGTTGTTATCTGGTTGGTTTGGATCATTTTTCATTTTCCATTTCATATATGGGATAATCTTTCTCATTGACTGCCTTCAAGGAGAAGTCGAGAAGAATTCTCCAAGGATGCAGAACTAAAAAGGCGCTATGTCTTTGGACCACCCAGGACTGAGGGTTAACATTTCGGCTGGATCAATGGGTTTTTGAATGGGTTTCTATTTTTTGCCGTTCATTGGGGAATTATAGTACCCATCTGGTTGGTGGTTTGGAACACGTTTATTTTTCCATATATTGGGAATAATCACCCCAACTGACTTTCATATTTTTCGGAGGGGATTTTCACATTTTCCGCCACATCACGGATCTGCCAGGAGGGCA